TCCCCCAATATTAATAAGTTCAATATTTTGATGTCATCGAAAAATGTAGATATTATAATGAGATTGGCTGTGTTTGCATATTGTGCTTTTCAAGAACGTAAAATGTTGCTAAATGATATTGTTTAAATATGTAATTATTTATGTATCTACACATTCTGGTTGGTAAATACTATACATATATGTTAAAAAAGTTATTTCTGTCACTTTATATACATTTATATTAGTAGTTATAAATTGTAATTGATCTATATAGTACACTGGCACTACATCATGTCATGCTTGTAATGTATATGTTTTGTTGATATGGGCCGGAGGCCAAAGTCAAATAAATCTTTTGTCATTGTCATTGTCATTGACTGGCAAACAATACCGTCATACATTGATATACTGACTGGCAGACAATACCTTCATGCATTGATATACTCACTGGCAGACAATACCGTCATACATTGATATACTGACTGGCAGACACTAGCGTCATACATTGATATACTGACTTGCAGACACTAGTGCAATGCATTGATACACTGACTTGCAAACACTAGCGTCATACATTGAATATACTGACTGGCAGACAATACCGTCATACATTTATATACTGACTTGCCGACACTAGCGTCATACATTGAGATACTGACTGGCAAACAAAATCGTCATACATTGATATACTGACCGGCAGACACTAGCGTCATACATTGATACACTGACTGGCAGACAATACCGCCAAACATTGATAAACTGACTGGCAGACAATACCGTCGTACATCGATATACTGACAGGCAGACACTAGCGTCATACATTGATACACTGACTGGCAGACACTAAACCGTCATAAATTGATATACTGACTGGCAGACACTAGCGTCACACATTGATATACTGTATGGCAGACAATACCTGCCAAAACATTGATAAAACTGACTGGCAGACAATACGTCATTATATTGATATACTGACTGGCAGACACATAGCGTCATACATTGATACACTGACTGGGCAGACACTAGCGTCATACATTGATATACTGACTGGCAGACACAGCGTCACACATTGATATACTGTCTGGCAAACAAAACCGTCACACAATGATATACCCACTGGCAGACACAAGCGTCGTACATCGATATACTGACATGCAGACACTAGTACAATGCATTTTAACACTGATTGCAAGACACTAGCGTCATACATTGATATACTGATTGCAGACACCTAGTAAATGCATTGATACATCTGACTTGCAGACACTAGCGTCATACATTTGTAAATACCTGACTTGCAGACACTAGTAGTCAGATGCATCGGATATCACTGACCGGTAAACACCTAAGCGTCATAGCAATTGAACATGTCTGGTCAGGCTAGGGACAAATAGCACCGTGGTGGAGCCAGAAATGTGATAAAACTGACTGGCCCAGACAATACCGTCGTACATCGATATACTGAACAGGCAGACACTAGCGGTCATACATTTTGATTACACTGTACTGGTAAGACACTAGTGTCATATGCATTGATGGTACTGACTGGCAAACAATAGCGAACAGTACATTGATATACGCTGACTGGCAGACCAAATAGCGTCATACAATTGATATACTGAGACTTGGGCAGGACCACTTTATCTCATACCACGGATATACTGGACTGGCAGACAATAACGGTCATACATTGAATATACTGGACTTGCACACACTAGCGTCATACATTGATATACGCTTGAGTGGGCAGACAAAACCCGGGTTATTCATTGAAATCCCTGACTGGCAGAAAAGGGGGCGCATTAAATTTGATATCTGAGTTGCGGGAAAAAGCGTAAATCCCATTAAATATACTAAACGGCGGGCCCAAAAAGTCTACTGATAACTGATTGGGCAGACCCTAGTGAAATGTTTGGGATAATTTACTTGGCAAACATGACAGGCAGAAATAGGGGTCACACTTTTTTTTATAGGGACGGGGGTAAAACAAAAGCGATATACATTGATGATGATTTGGTAACAAAGCGCCCGAAACATTGATATACTGACTACCCACATAATAAGTTTTGCTTTTGAAAATTTGACGGGAAAAACAAAAGCGAGATACATTGTTTAGTTTGACGGGTAGACAATAGGGGTCTTTCATTATTTTTACGGGACTCCCACAAAATAACGCCCATGCATTTGAATAAAAGTGATTGGGGCAACAATTTAGCGGAGAACATTGATTTACTGGCTGGCCCAATACTAGGTCATTACATTGATATTCTGAGTGGCACACAATAGCGTCATCATTGTGATATTCTGAGTGGCAAGACTGGGCGAACATTACATTTTGTATACTGATGGTAGACAATGGGGCATGCATAAAATTAAGAAGGGTTTTGTTTGGTTTTTACTAATAATTTGCTATATTTTGTTATATTAAAAGGGAGGACTGTTTAAAGTCTTTGCAGCAATTTTGAAATACCTTAGGAACACTTTGTAGGATTTAAACTCATATGGGTAATGTCCATGGAAATAAAGTGGAAGATGAAGTGGTATATTAAATACTGTCCTTGCTAACATGGGTTTAGACTCATTCAATTCCTCCATTTAAAGATTTTGGTTCTGTTAGGACTTGGTGAGACTAACCTTCTCTAAACCCGAGGCTCAGAAAAGGACAAGCATGATGATTGAAGATAAAAAAAGAAACACTGCGATGTTTCAATAGGGGGTTTTATGGGGAAAATTGCTGTACTTATATAGTGTTTACCAATGATTTAATCGAGATAAATTAATGACGTAAGATTCATGGGCTGGCCTACTTTTATGAAATTACTCTTTGCTATAAAATTAACCATTTAAAGGCATGACTGGTGACATGTCCGGGGTCCGTACTCGGGAACAAAAGCACTCAGTGCGTGCAGTCAGTGACCGTTTACATTAATGGCCCAATATGCCCTTGAAATGCTCTTACTTTTGTTTCACAAAAGCTTTAAATTTCTGTCGTCATGTTATATTTTTCAAACAGTTACTTTTCGGCCAATTATCAGAGCCATATTTTGCTACTGTAGCTTTTTGACATTAAGTACAGTTATTGTGATTTATTATTTTGTATGGAAGTCAAATTACTATTTTGTTTTCATTTTTCTACTTTATGACAAATAGTTTCACATTTAGTACTACTTTCTTCAGGTGATAAGCATCTAACATGCTCTTCTTAAACCATTTTTAAAGGTTATTAAACTCATGTTTGTCCTTTCTAAAATCAAAGTGCTGCAGCACTGAATGCGACGGACATGCAACCGGAGAGACATTAAGGCTTTTTTTCAAAAAAAAAAAAACAACGCAAAAGATATAACAGAGAAAATTTGTTCCATACAAGTTCGAGATTTGTAGAGCAATATATTTTATGTGATTTTCTTCTTTCAAGCAGAACAAGTCCAAATTTTTAAATACAGAATGAAATTTATGCCTAAAAACTCAAACTTGTAAATCAGTGTTCTTATCGATTTATTCCAAGAAATGATATGTAAATAGAAAAAAAAACTGTCAACGAAATATTTCTTAAATAAAACCATGCAAATAATCTTCAATTATAATACATAATACATGTGAGAATGTTAATTAGAATTGCTTCGTGTTATATCATAGTGGGCATATAGACAATAAAATATAAGTCATTTTTATTTTTATTTCTCTTGGATATGTCTCATTAAAAATATTTTTGGTTAAAATCATCAGCAATTATTGGTGTATTTTTTTAGATTTTTTCTTATTTACGTCACTTAAGCACTACAGTGTTTAGTTGTCCCTTTCAATTTCACACAAAATTCCATTTTCAACTTGTTTGCTTCTTACAATTGTATAGAATATCTTAAAGTATTGCATGTAACCAAAGTAGGTATCGGCTGGTTTATTACACTCGTCCGAAAGTCAGCACAGATGATGCTCTAATCTATTTTTAGAATAGTGTTATCTTCTGGTCGAAGGCTATTATAATCTCATAGCAGATTAACTCATATCGTGACCTAGAAAACTATGCAAACAAAACACAAGAATCGGAAGCAGAACTGATAAAATAACTTCCTTCAATAAAGATTACCATGAAAGACTACATGGTGGTAAAGTGTTGAAAAACTCCCTTGTTACAGGCATTTTCAAAAATACATATTTATAATACTAACCATTGTACTGAAGTCTTATTTATTAATAAATGCTGGATATTCAGCTAAACCCGCGGTATCAGTCACGAAAAGAGTTTTTCTTCTATTAATTCGCGGGTTATTCTAAAGTCAAGAAAAACTTTTGATCTGTTAATAAAAATGTTTTGTTTAATGGGGAAATATTTATTTCCTGCTTATAATTTCTATTAATTATTGAGCTTACTCCTTAATTATAGCATAATTTGCTGTCCTACTTTTTCTACAGCGGTAAATCGTTTCAGCAGTTATTTGCATAATTGCGCAATAATGGCTACAGCGTTTTTATCAATCAAATACGTTTATATTTGAACTTGGACAACTTAATTTGAAATTGAAAAGGCTAAATATGGAAGTTTTTAAGATATCCCGACGAAGTATGGGAGTTTCAAAGGATCAAATTCTTGTACTATTTCGTGGGCTGTTATTCGGTTGAGGACACATTGCGCGATTGTAGCCGACGAAATCCCATGTGAAGATGACAAAGCTCTGAACGCGCCTGAGGGCGCGTCCGTCGCAAAAAATGAAAAATATATTCAATTCTGAGGAATAATGTGTCTTAATGACTTTTCAATATTTAAAACGTTATTTAATAACCTTTCTAAATTTTTATAATCAATGACGACTAGGTATTCCATTTACAAAGTTTCGTCGGTTTGTCGTCGGCGGCGGCCATAATTGTTGGCAGCTAAAACAAAGGAAATAAACTGTATGGGTAAAAAGATATGGTGATTACTTATCTTCTTAGAATACAGAAACAATGTTTTATCTGGTTATGTTAAAAAAGAATCTCATTGCTCTCTTCCTTTTACAATGATATTCAAAGTAATTAGTCTACTTACTCGGTAGTAACACGTCACTCTCGAACTTTTCGGTGGTTGTCCCAAATATGCGGTCCTGAGGTTTTAACATCTGAAAAGAGCATCAAGGTTTTGGTCAAAATGTTATAAACCATTAATACAATGCCGACTTTGGAAAAAATGGCAAAAAAAATGATTTATATTCAGACAAAATGTCAATGTAATAATTGTTTTTGTCATTCATTCAGCATGTTTCAGATATTAAAAAAGTCCACTCGCTCTCTTGTCGTTTCTGGACGGTGACATATAATATCTAATAAAAAAGTGGACGGTGACATATAATATCTAATTAAAAAGTGGACGGTGATATAATATCTAATAAAAAAGTGAACGGTGACATATAATATCTAATAAGAAAGTGGACGGTGACACATGATATCTAATAAAAAGTGAACAGTGACATATAATATCTAATAAAAAAGTGGACGGTGATATTATATCTAATAAAAAAGTGAACGGTGACATATAATTTCTAATAAAAAAGTGAACGGTGACATGTAATATCTAATAAAAAAGTGAACGGTGACATATAATATCTAATAAAAAAAATGGACGGTGACTTATCATATCTAATAGAAAAGTGGACGGTGACATATAGTATCTAATAAAAAAGTGGACGGTGATATTATATCTAATAAAAAAGTGAACGGTGACATATAATATCTTAAAAAAAAGTGGACTTTGACATATAATATCTTATAAAAAATGAACGGTGACATATAATATCTAATAAAAAAGTGGACGGTGACACATAATATCTAATAAAAAAGTGGGCGGTGATATAATATCTAATGAAAAAGTGAACGTTGATATTATATCTAATAAAAAAGTGAACGGTGACAGATAATATCTAATAAAAAAGTGGAAGGTGACATATAATATCTAATAAAAATGCGGACGGTGATATTATATCTAATAAAAAAGTGAACAGTGACACATAATATCTAATAAAAAAATGAACGGTGACATATAATATCTATTAAAAAAGTGGAAGGTGACATATAATATCTAATAAAAAAGTGGACGGTGATATTATATCTAATAAAAAAGTGAACAGTGACACATAATATCTAATAAAAAATGAACGGTGACATATAATATCTAATAAAAAAGTGGGCGGTGATATAATATCTAATAAAAAGTGAACGGTGACAGATAATATCTAATAAAAAAAGTTGACGGTGAATATTTAATAAAAAAGTGGACGGTGATATTATATCTAATAAAAAAGTGAACGGTGACATATAATATTTAATAAAAAAGTGAACGGTGACATATAATATCTAATAAAAAAGTGAACGCCGACATATAATATCTGATAAAAAAGTGGACGGTGACATATAATATCTAATAAAAAAGTGAACAGTGACATATAATATTTAATAAAAAAATGAACAGTGACATAAAATATCTAATAAAAAAGTGGACGGTGATATTATATCTAATAAAAAGGTGAACGGTGACATATAATAATTAATCAAAAAGTGGACGGTGACATATAATATCTAATTAAAAAGTGGACGGTGACATATAATATCTCATAAAAAAGTAAACAGTGACATATAATATCTAATAAAAAAGTGGACGGTGATATTATATCTAATAAAAAAGTGAACGGTGACATATAATATGTAATAAAAAGTGGACGGTGATATATAACATCTAATAAAAAAATGAACGGTGACATATGATATCTAATAAAAAAGTGAACGGTGACATACAATATCTAATAAAAGTTGATGGTGACATATAATATCTAATAAAAAAGTGGACGGTGACATATAATATCTAATAAAAAGTGGACGGTGATATATAACATCTAATAAAAAATGAACGGTGACATATGATATCTAATAAAAAAGTGAACGGTGACATATGATATCTAATAAAAAAATGAACGGTGACATATGATATCTAATAAAAAAGTGAACGGTGACATATAATATCTAATAAAAGTTGATGGTGACATATAATATCTTATAAAAAGTGGATGGTGACATATAATATCTAATAAAAAAGTGGACGGTGACATATTATATCTAATAAAAAAGTAGATGGTGACACATAATATCTGATAAAAACGTGAACAGTGACATATAATATCTAATAAAAAAGTGAACGGTGACATATAATTCATAATACAACAGTGGACGGTGACATATAATATCTTATAAAAAAGTGAACGGTGACATATAACATCTAATAAACAAGAGGGCCATGATGGCCCTGAAGTCGCTCACTTGTATATAGGTCCCCGGGAGCGGGGCCAGTTTAAACCCCAGGGTTTTTATTTGAACAAACTTGGTAGACACCCATTAGAAAATGTTTCATTCTAAACATCAAAGTTCTAGCTCGTTGGGTTAATTTTTCTAAAAGAAGATATTTTTCAGTTTTTACTTACAAATATATTTAAAAACAATGACACCCCTGGGGCAGGGCCAGTTTTGACCCCAGGGCTTTAAATTGAACAATCTTTGTAGACACTTACTAGATGATGTTTCATGTTTATTATCTAAACTCTAGCTATTCGGGTTTTTTTCGAAGAAGATTTTTAAGTTTTTGCTATACACATATAAGGAAAATCAATGTCCCAAGGGCGGGGCCAATTTTGACCCCAGGGCTCTTATTTGAACAAACTTGGTAGACATCCATTAGAACATGTTTCATGCTAAATATCTTAGCTCTAGCTCTTTGGGTTCTTAAAAAGAAGATTTTTTAAGTTTTTACTATATTCATATAGGGAAAATCAATGACCCCCTGTGGCGGGGCCAATTTTGACCCCAGGGCTTTTATTTGAACAAACTTGGTAGACACCCATTAGAAGATGTTTCATGCTAAATATCTTAGCTCTAGCTCTTTGGGTTCTTTAAAAGAAAATTCTTTAAGTTTTTACTATATATACATATAGGGAAAATCAATGACCCCCTGGGGCAGGGCCAATTTTGACCCCAGGGCTTTTATTTGAACAAATTTGGTAGACACTCACTAGAAAATGTTTCATGTCAAATATCTAAGCTCTAGCTCTTTGGGTTTTTTAGAAGAAGATATTTAAAGTTTTTTCTTTTGGTTGCCATGGCAACCAGAGTTCTGCACGGAATTAATTTCTTTGAACAATTTTTAAAGGTGACCAACAAAGGAACATTCCTGTGAAGTTTGGATGAAATTGGCTTAGTGGTTTATGAGGATATGTCATTTTAAAGTCAAAGTTTACTGACGACGGACGGACGACGGATAGACGACGGACGGACGGACGCCGGACGAAAATCGATCACAAAAGCTCACCTTGTCAAAAAGTGGAAGGTGAGCTAAAAAGTGAACAGTGACATATAATATCTAATAAAAAAGTGGATGGTGACATATAATATCTAATAAAAAGTGAACGGTGACATATAATATCTAATAAAAAGTGAACGGTGACATATAATATCTAATAAAAAGTGAACGGTGACATATAATATCTAATAAAAAAAGTTTTTGAATTATTGGCTAAACAGCGATTCCTAGCATTTTTGAACAGCTAATACTTGTAACAAATACATGCTTACTTGCAGTTCCATTATTGGAGCAGATCCGTCGTTTGCTGATAAATGTTTTCCCGGAAATGGAGGAATTTCTACAACTCCGTTAAGCCCTGAACTGTCGGCTGCAAATATATTCATAAGTTATATAAGTATAATTTACGGAATTTGTTGTGAATATTCTTAAAGTAATCTTAAAACTCCAACATCTTTTACATTTATGAAGTACAATCAAGATTGTTTAATACCTTACCATGCCTCAATAAGAACGTGTATACCTCTTTCATTTGCAAGTATTTGAAACAAACAATAGATGGGAACTTTGATTAAACTTCTGTATTAAATTTTGGTATTTTGGGGATTTCTTGGGATTTTATCATATTTTAACTGACTTTACAAACAAAATATTATTTCAATATAAAATATAACATTGTGTATCATTATATAACGGGTAACAATAATCATGCTTAATATAATAGGAGCACAAAAGTCTATTTTCGAACAATTTGCACGTGCAATAAAACTTTAGCAAGTCATTTAAATACACTGACTTCTGACCAGAAAAGTGAGCGGGTTGAAAAAGCCTCGGCCTTTTCTTGACTAGGTTCAAAGATACCTAGACGCATGAGAGAAATTTTCACAGGAGATGAAACGTGGCTTTATTATTATTATTTTTCTTTTTTTTTTTTTTTTGAACCTGACCATAAACTCAGTAACAAATTGTTGATAGGTGAATACAGCGATCGCCCAGTTGTTGCTCGACGTGGGTTCGATTCTTGGGTTGGCCAACTAAAATTACTGATCAGTCTTTCGGAAGAAACTTTAAATCGGGGTCCTGAGAATGAGTGCCTAAACACTTGGCACGCTTAAGAAGCGGGCATTGGGGCATCTTTCTGTATCTGTAACTTGGACTATCGTCCAAAATCTAAACGACTTATACTCTTCTGGAGGACTCACCATATGGGCAACCGATGGCGAGTATGCACAAACAAGGCTTTCGGGTAAAGACTTCTGGCACCATATAGTAGTTTAAAGTGGTAATCTTTATTCCAAAATTTAAAGTACCCCATTCTATGTTACGAACATTTAAATCTGAAAATAAAAGCATATCAATCATTGAACAATTAAAGACAACAATTATTTTTCAGTAATCTCAAAAAATCAAACATATGATAACTTTGCTCAGTGAAATGAAATATGCACATATTGACATCTTAAAAAGCAACATTACAATTTTCATCAAATGAATAAATAACGTATCCCCAAGGATCAGTCATTGAATATTAGGGTTACTTTTACTTTTTTCTATGTGTCAAGCATTGCTATTTTATAATTTATAAATCATGAATGATATTTTAGAATTATTTGGTTGTTTATTTTTTATGAGACCTATTATATTACATTATTTTATCTAATTATAAACAATTTCTCCCTGGTCCGTAAGAATCACGTGACTACATGTTTATCGTTATAAAATCTATAAATAGTATGACGTGCACCGAGAAATTGCCTATATTTCAAATATCTTATTATCTATAAAAGTGTAATTAATATAAATATAATTTTCCTCAGGACTACCTTGTCACTATGATTTGTAAGAAATGATCCGTAAATGATTTCACAAAAATATTTTATAAACAGGTATTTTTATATCTAAAATACAAAAACTTATCCGTCAGGCGTCTTAAAGCTATAAAATATTCTTCAGCTGTATTTTATCTATCAGTTCCTTTTGTCTATATTATATCAATAAATATCACAAAAACAGTAAACAATATTTATATTTATGCAACCCGGTTTTTCACTTAACTAACTGCTTAATTATTCCCTATGGGAAGGAAGCTCGTAGCAAGTTATAACAACAAAGTTACAAAAATAAAATATTAATTTACTTTAAAAAAGTTCTCTAATCAACCTCAAATTCAACTCTCCCATTCTGCAATAAAACTCTTGTATATATACGCATAGACAAATCCATTTACAAAGGATCAACAGGTTATCCCATTATTTATACTCATTCCCTTAAAAGCGTCTTGATCATATAAAAACGTTTTCCTTACGTTATTATTCAAATAATGAGCGTCTAATAAATTCTTTTATAAAATCTATAATAAATGTTTATACCTATCGACGGATGACAACATGTTTAAATTATTCACAATCTGATATTAAATAAAACTAGATCTGTAAGTATCAAACACTTTTACCTGATAAAATATAAAGCAAACTGTCGTTTGATAAATAAATTGCAGTATCAATGGCGATTATTCAACAAAGGGGAGTAACTATGTATAATCATTACATTACCCACGCCTCCGTTTATATGCGTCCCGCATATTCATCTATATATACAAAACAACAAAACTTTTAATCTCTTTTTATACTCGTATATTTCAAACTAACATCATTCATTTTTTTATACATAAATCGAACAACTTCTTAACTTCTTCTTAAGCTTTATCCGTCTAAACATAAAAATAACGTCGATTACTACATGTACTTTCATATCAAATCAAATCTTTACATTTATTCTTTAATAATGTTTAACATATTATGAATCATTTCTTTCTTGAACTGTAGTTCCTCCTTCTTCATCCTTTCTGTAGACTCTAATCTAGCAAATTCTAATTCTGTTCGCCTTCTCTCTAATTTAACCTTCTCCAATTCATACTCTAATTTCATCTTATTTATCTCATTACTTTCCTCTTGATCATTCACACTTGTATTTACTTTCCAATCATACTCTACCTGAACCGACTCACCATCAACTCTCTCAGGCTCCCCACTCTTCCCCACAGTTTTCCCACCACTCACTGATCCCAACTCATGTGTTCTCTTCAACATTGCGGCCGTAACCGCTGCCTTTCTGAACAAGGGTCCAACCATTTTCCTTTGCTCTGTCCCAACAATAGGTTGGGGCCTTGTTAATTTCCTTAAGACTCTTCCTTCCAAAACACTTTCTTACCACATAACTTCTCATCAATATTTGTATCAACACAGCTCTCTGACTTATACATTACTATACTTTTATCATTATTATTCTTGTCAATATTTTTCTCTCTATCACTGATCTCTTCCAAAATTGACACATCTGGACTACTGCCTATATCATCAAGATAGTCTAATTCCTCGTCCTTATCAGATATTTGTTTCTCGCTTACCTCTTCACCCATATCATCAATATCAACATGCTGATCTATCAGATTGTCTTCTTCTGATTTATTTCCATTGTCAATGTCCGTATCAATATCTTTGTGATTTGTAGCAATTTCTTTCTTCTCATACGGTCTTGCTCTATGTAGCTTTGCATAATATACCTTCTTAAATGTTTTCCCACAAGTATTACATCTTGGTCTTTCTGTTATACACTTCAAGATATGTTCTTCATACTTTGACAGAGCGAGTCTTAGCTTACATACTGCACAAATTACTTTTGGACTTATTACCTTTGCATTAGCCATCCTGCAAATAGAACATACATAATCTTTTAAATATAATGGCTTCTTTATTTTTCCATTGTGTCCATAATGATTTTAAAAAGTAACCTGCTTATCCAATATGTTTGTAATTTGGTCTTTCACAACCGTTTATCCACTTCATTACAGTTTGGATATTTTCGTCCATTTGTTGAGCATCATGTAGGGTGATATCGTCAGAAATGATTTCTTCTAATGTTGATGCATTGTTTTGAAGTTGTGCCACGAAATGATTTTCTCTGTCCTGTAATAAATGACCTGTAATTCCACATTGTTTACATGGTATTCTTGAAACTGCATCTGCGTTTGTATGTAATCTTCCGGGTCTATGCTCAATTTTAATATCGTAAGCTGATAGAATTTCAATCCATCTAGCAACTTGACCTTCTGGGCTTTAAAAATTCATGAGCCATCTTAAAGATCCGTTATCCGTTCTGACTAAAAATGTCTTTCCATACAAATAATGCCTGAAATATTTCACAAAATGTATCAAAGCTAATAATTCCTTACGAGTAACACAATATTTCCGTTCAGACTTGGTTAATGTGCGACTAGCATAGTAAATAACATGTTCCTTGTCATCAATATTTTGAGACAAAATAGCTCCTATAGATTCATGACAAGCGTCACTATCAAGAATAAACGGTTTCGAAAAATCTGGATGAGAAAGAACTGGATTCAACTTATTTTTGTTTTAATATTTTAAATGCTTCTTCACAATTTTGTGTCCATATAAATTTTCTATTTTTCTCACTTAAACGATGAAGCGGCTTTGCTATAGCAGAAAAATTCTCAATAGACTGCCGATAATAGCTACAAAGCCCTAAGAAAGATCGCACTTCTTTTTTACTAGTAGGTGACGTCCATTTCCGAATACATTCTGTTTTCTTAGGATCGGTCTCAATCCCCTTTTTAGACACAATACATGTCCTAAAAAATCTACTTTCTTAGCAAATAAAACATATTTCTTTGCTTTAAGTTTTAATTCAGCTGTTGACAAACGTTGAAAAACTGTATCTAAATTATTCAGCATATCATCAAAATCTTTGCCCATAACGATTATATCATCAAGATAAATTAAACAAATTTGCCAATGAAGCCTTGATAAAACTGTTTCCATAAGGCGTTCAAATGGCGCATTTCGCATTGCACAATCCGAACGGCATTACTTGAAATTCAAATAAACATTGTCTTGTCTGAAAAGCGGTCTTAATTTTGTCTGATGGGTCTTCAACCTGCCAATAACCTGATGACAAATCTGTACACGTAAACCATTTGCTGCCTGATAATTGATCTAGTGACACGTCAACACATGGAATTGGATAAGCGTCTTTGATTGTTACATTATTAAGTTTGCGATAATCAATGCAAAATCGCCGAGTTCCGTCTTTCTTTCGAACAAGAACTACTCCGCTAGACCAAGGGCTTGTTGATGCTTGTATAACATTTTTATCCAACATTTCTTGAACTTGTGTATTTACCTCCTTATTCATGTGTTCTCGCACACGTCTTATCGGCTGTTTTATGGGTCTTGCATCACCCGTAGGTATCTGATGCTTGATAATACCGGTACGACCAAGATCAGAATCATTTACAGAAAATATTGAAGAATATTTCATTAGAAGCTTTTTGACTTGTTTACTTTGATTTTTATCTAAATCAACTATAGCTCTCTCATAAAGATCCGTCAAATGACCTGGACGCTGTGTTTCAGATCTATTTTTGATCACTGTTGTACTTATACTATCAACAGGGCTCATCAATGCAATGTTTGTTCCCGGATACAGTACTTGATTATCATCGGATATATTCATCAATCTGACGGGAACATTCTCATTTCCTTGAACTACTGCTCGTGCTATCATTCCATTATTGTCTAATAAGGGACGTTTAATTTGCTCTATCACGAATAAACCTTTATTGGAAAACTCTTTTTTTTTAACTTTACCCCGTATTAAAACTTCACTTTTAGCTGGGACAAAAAAATCTATCTGTACATATTATTCTATAACATCCGACTGGCCCTTGACATTTCAATTTACATGACTTACCCCTGACAGATATAGTGCTGGATGCTATATTTATGATCATGTTTTGTGATTGCATAAAGTCAATACCTAAAATGATATCAGTCTCTATTGAAGAAACAACGACATCAAAGAGACTCTTTTGACCCTCGATTTCTATAGATACATTAGCTTTTCCTTTTATTTGTAATGGTTCGCCAGATGCTGTAGCAATATTAAAGCTACATGATTTCAATTCAAGTGGTATCGTAGACTAGCATATCATGTCATACAATTTTTCAGATATTATCGTAAGATTTGCACCTGTGTCAATTAGACAAGAAACACTTACATTTTTAACTTTTGCATCTATGTAAAAACCTGATCCATGCCTCGTTGAACTTTGTACGGACTGATGTGTCTCTTGCTGGGATTTTAGAGTTTGTGTATTATTTATTTCTGGTAGTTTAGGACAATTTATTTGTACATGTCCGATATCTTCACATTTATAACAAGTAAATGGGATCCTATTTCTATTTTCTTAAATGTTATGAGATGAATGTATATTTTGCATGGTTTTTGAAATATTGGAAGATTGCATATTTCTACTTTGTTGCATATTTCTACTTTGTTCAGGTTTACTTTCAGAATATTGTGAATTTTGGGTCTGAAACATAGCTCTCATTTCTTCCATAGACTTTTTAAGTTGTTCTAACTCAGGAGAAAAGAAACTTTGACCAGAAAAATGTCTTTGTTGGGAATGTTGATTAAAAATTGGTTTTACTGGAGTGTTTTAAATTCGACCTATTTCTATCATTTGTACGTTAAAACATTGTCTATCTAATCGCTTTCTTTCAGTTGTGTTAAAAGCTTCAAGCTCAACAGCATGCCTGATAGCATCATTTAAATATGTAGGTCTAGTCATCTTAACTCGAAGTCTCATGTCAGAATTTATCAAAGAATCTATAAACTGCTCTTTAGCTAAGGCTTCTTTGACTTCTGTCGGGGCTGATGGGTAAGCTAAATTTGTTAACCTTCTAATGTTTTGACCCATCTGTGATAAAGTTTCTGAGGCTCTCTGTCTCCTATCTCTAAGTTGTGCCCTATATAATTCTGTTTAATTTCTGGGTGAAAAATGTTCTTCTAACGCTGAAACTAATTCACTGTAACTTGGTGTTTTGTTATTTAAATTCCCCAAAACACCCTGGGCATCGCCACGAAGAGAAACTGACAGGTAAAGTCCTTTCTGTTTATCTGTCCAATTATTTATTTCAGCACATGCATCAAAATGTGCTTTATAATCAATCCAGGAAATTGACCCATATGTCGCAGGTTTCATCATAACATACTGTTTTGATGATTTTGTATTTTGGTTTGACCAATGTGAATCTGATACACCATGTTTGTCAGTTTGAGTATATGGTAGAGACTCGTCAACATTCATATTAGTCTGATCTGACTGTTGTAAGTCCTGTTGTAAGTCAGTTAAACATATCGAATCTTGATCTTGAAATTGCATTTTCTTAGTCATATCTCTTTCTGGACTTTGTAAAAATGATGTCTTTCTACAAGTATCATTTCTATGTCTGTTTTCTTTAAGTCCCATAGTCGGTGTCTGCGTACTCTGATGCATACTCTTGCGATATTCATAAATGTGTGTGCCTTTTCCATTTACTGAGGCTATCACCTGTGAATAATCATGTGATTTTGGTTTTGTATTACCTGTCAGATTTTCAATCAGTCATATGCATCAGTAAAACTTTCTTGACTTAAAACCCTGTCAGACACGTTTCTCAAATTTTCTTTAGGTGTAGAAGTTGCCATGTCATTCAATGTCTTAAAAAATTCTGTAGAATTTAATGTGGACGGAGAAATATTTGTTTCACATATATATTGATCTAATACTCGAATTTCCATTTGAAGTTTTAAACTTTCGTTCTCTATTTCTAAAAATCTTAGTTTCCTTTTCAAACTCGTTTCTCCATCATCGTCCCAAGGATTAGCCATTTTTACAGTGTAAAATAACAATGATTAATCTTGTGACAAATGTTATGTTCTTAAAAAAAATGCTACCTTTACTGATTCGTCAGACTAAAAAAATCCGTATGACAATACAAATAAATAGATAAACGTGAGTAAGTGTTAGTGTTAACTATCTATCAGACCTTATTAAGATACTATGAACCTTACGTATCTTTACAACTAGAAGATCTACTATATCACACCGCTGCTACCAAAAATATCTGTAGCGTGCACCGAGAAATTGCCTATATTTCAAATATCTTATTATCTATAAAAGTGTAATTAATATATATACATGTATAATTTTCCTCAGGACTACCTTGTCACTATGATTTGTAAGAAATGATCCGTAAATGATTTCACAAAAATATTAAGTATATTTGAAATCAAGAGTATTTTTATAAACAGGTATTTTTTTTATCTAAAATACAAAAACTTATCCGTCAGGCGTCTTAAAACTATAAAATATTCTTCAGCTGTATTTAATCTATCAGTTCCTTTTGTCTATATCATATCAATAAATATCACGAAAACAGTAAACAATATTTATATTTATGCAACCCGGTTTGTTACTTAACTAACTGCTTAACTATTCCCTATGGGAAGGAAGCTCGTAGCAAGTTATAACAACAAAGTTACAAAAATAAAATATTAATTTACTTTAAACAAGTTCTCTAATCAACCTCAAATTCAACTCTCCCATTCTGCAATAAAACTCTGGTATATATACGCATAGACAAATCCATTTACAAAGGGTCAACAGGTTATACCATTATTTATACTCATTCCCTTAAAAGCGTCTTGATCATATAAAAACGTTTTCATTACGTTATTATTCAAATAATGAGCGTCTAATAAATTCTTTTAAAAAATCTATAATAAACGTTTATACCTATCGACGGATGACAACATGTTTAAATTATTCACAATCTGATATTAAATAAAACTAGATCTGTAAGTATCAAACACTTTTACCTGATAAAATATAAAGCAAACTGTCGTTTGATAAATAAATTGCAGTATCAATGGCAATTATTCAACAAAGGGGTGTAACTTTGTATAATCATTACAATAGTAACAGATTGCTGATAAGACATGCAGGTAACTTGTTAATGTGTGGTAGCTGATAAGATGCAAATCATTATAATTTTGTACAGATAATTACATAAGTTATTTTTCATTAATCAGTTTCGTACTTTATATCAGTAGAAAAACCTGTTTACTCATATTTTACACATTAAAATTAAATTTTCAAAACCTTTTCCTTACTTCTTGGTAAAGGGTTAAACTTGGCCCTTTCTGTCAAACTTTTGAGAAGTAAGTTCAATAGTTTAGTTTAGGTTGAACATCCCAAAATAATTTTATGCTTAAGAGGCACATTATTGAAATCGTTGATTTCGGTATATTCCGTCGGTTTCCGTCACGCAGGTTTCCAAAACGGTATGACGTTCGGGGTCCGGAATCGTATTAGATACATAGCAAAAAATAGTAAACTATCTTTGTGTTGATAGTTTATCGCACTGAAAGGCAATTAAACGTCAAATTTATATATCGTATGTAATGATTGGAATACATGTATTGATTTCAACTAAATTATATATTTTTCTAAAGCACATAATAATGATGTACATCACTTTTACAGTAAAATTGTATTGTTTCATGGAATAATTAAACATATATATTTTCATAGTCACTTTGCAAATATTCGATGATCGGTAATTATTTGTCGGTAATTATCTGAATCTGAACTAGTAACCTATACGGATTTCAATGTATGGTACAACAGTATATGTATAATACAAGCCTCAGTGGCAAACATTACTCAACTCATTGTTCCTCTTATTTTTATACTTGAACCATTAAACTAATATTTTCTTATATTTATGATAATACAATCATTTTTCTATCCGGTGACTTGATGCTTTAGCATCAAAATCTCTACTTGTCTATTTCTTTAACACATTTTATGAGGTGCTTGTATATTCCTCGCCAGGCGTACAAATTATAGTTAACTTACGTGGCGGAAGTAATTCGTCCCCTGCAAAATCTCCATAGGGATATGTTTGTCGTCTGATTCGATGCCGGATATACCCAAAATGCAATTCTTGTGAAGGTACTTCCTCGTCGAAACGACGTTTCCGGTACATTGACCTTACAGGCTCAATCTGATAATGCTGATTGTCATGAACAAAAAAGCCAAACTGGAACAAATAAGATGAAAAAATACACTATTCTTGTTAGTTATAAATACTTGTGTGTCGTAATGAGCAAATCTCTTTACTCCATGTCTCATATTCGAATTTTCCACCTCAAGATGCTGAACAAATTTACAAAGCTCTTGATGAAATAACCCCCTGGCACAGTTGTCAAAGGATGCACTTTTAGTAATTATAAGGGAGGCATGCATTGAATATGCATTATTTATTATATATTATTGTTTTATGTATGTATAGAAATACATTGCATAAAATGATAATTGCAGGAAAAGGGATTTATAATACTTGTATACAACTAATGAACTACATCTATACTGTAGGCATATTGACAAACAAATGTAAAATGTTCAGGACAAAGGCATAATGGAAAAATAGAGAAGTTAATGAAAAAGGCATGACCTATATTTAACATGAAAAAACTAGAGAACAGGAAAAGGGCTTGACCTACATATATTTAACATTGAAAGAAATATAGAGTAGAAAATGACCATATGACAAGAGTTTATATACACACAATATCAATGAATTGACAGTTTGCTTTAATTACCTTATATGATCATCCCCCAAAAAGAAGAAAAAAAGACAATAGTATTTGTATAAAAGGGATGAACAAATGGAATAAATAGAACATTACAGCATTGGTGTACAGATCCTATGACAGTATTAACATTTTACAGAGAAAATATTTATGTGATTCCTTATGGTTTAACAATTTCTAAAATAATTTTAATAATTGTTCATAGCTTTTTGACTGCGTAAAAAGGAGCTCTTTAAGTCAAAGAGTGTTACATTTTCATAAATAATAAGGTTTAATTAACAATTTTCTTGTCTGATTGAAAGAGTGACAAGTCAATAAATAGTGAAACTCATCTCCTATTTCTGGGGTAAACACAGTTGACATATTCTTTCATTATGATCTATAGTTTGTCACCTACCTGTTTCACATAAGAGTAATGATTGATGCGTCTAAATTTAATAAGAGACAGCCAATGAGACTGTTTTAGACTAAGTAAATAGCCCTAAGAATTAATATTGACTCTTTGAAAATTGAATAATTTAGTCATTAACGAACATTGATATACGACCTGGGTACCGGATCAGTACATTAAACCTGGTCAGACCAGGATTTACCGTTCACTTTATTTGTTTAACCATGCTTTAAAGTATGTTTAGTTGTGAAGTAACACAGTTTGTTACTGATTATTCCGCCATCAATTTCTCCGCTTTTAACAACATTATAAATAACGTGTGTAAAAATGCTCTTCACATAAAAAAATTATATAAAAAAACTATTTTTTGTTTTATACGCATGAAAAGCCGTGACTAATGGGTTAGACAAGTGACCTAGTAGAATCTAGATAATGTAAATATCTTTGCTTACTATATCGACATGATCTGAACTTTAATAAGGACATTTGATGGTCACAGAAGCTCCTAGGGTCTCATCCTGATAAACACCAAAATTCACCTGTAATATCAAATAATCAGATTTACACAAAAACTCATCTTTATGAAAAATAAGCACATAAACAACGACATGTTAACGTGGAATGAAAAATAAGCACATAAACTGTAATGTAAAATAAGCGCATTTACACCGAAATTCACCTGCAATGTAAAATAAACACTGAAACATTGAAATCCAGTTATAATGTAAAATAAGCACATCAACATTGAAATTCACCCGTAATTTCAACAAGAGCCATCGCCAGGCGGGGGTAACGCTCGACTTTTTTTTACTTTTTCTATAGGCAAACAAATAAACGGTTTAAACAAATATGAGAATATAAAAAAGAAAATTAATAGGGGAACAAAATAGGTTTATATTAGGAGGTCTGTCTAGTTTTGTCAAAGTATGAATCATTTCCATACATATAGAGAAAGAAATACAAACAAAATTCAATCATTTGACATTGACGGTCAAGGTCATTTAAAGGTCAAGGCAGCTCAACTTTTTAAAAGGTCTTGTCCAAAAAGTTATGCAAATAATCCACTTATGACCGTAACGATACCTCTATTTTTTTTCTTCGAAAAAACAATCGAGCTAAATAGACACCGAAATTCACATGTAACATAAAAAAGTACATATGCATTAAAACTCACGCCAAAATTCATAACCACCTGTATTAGAAAATATGTGATATTGTGGGAAATAGAAAAAGAGAAATTGAATTTTTACGAGATAAACATGCACATTCTTTTAGAGGCGTTTATTGCATTATTTCTAGCAAAAGTGAGACCCATAGTAGATCCAGCGGCCTCTCGTAATCTCGCTGGATAGTAGAAACAGCGAACTCTCGTAATTTCGCTGGATAGTAGAACCAGCGACCTCTCGTAATCTCACTGGATAGTAGAACCAGCAACCTCTCGTTATCTCGCTTGATAGTAGAACCAGCGACCTTTCGTAATCTCGCTGGATAGTAGAACCAGCGACCTGTCGTAATCTCGCTGGATAGAAGTACCAGCCACCTCTCGTAATCTCGCTGGATAGTAGAACCACCGACCTGTCGTAATCTCGCTGGATAGAAGTACCAGCGACCCGTCGTAATCTCGCTGTATAGTATAACAAGCAACCTCTCGTTATCTCACTGGTTAGTAGAACAAGCGACCTCTCGTAATCCCGCTGAAAGTAGAACCAGCGACCTGTCGTAATCTCGCCGGAAAGTAGAACCAGCGACTTCTCGTAAGCTCGCTGGATAGTAAAACCAGCGACCTCTCGTAATCTCGCTGGATAGTAGAACCAGCAACCTCTCTGTTCGACATATACTTTATGGTACATATAGTATCTGAAAATACTTCTGATGTCTATGTTTAAGCTATTTTCACTTTATAGTCATGATCTATTTGATTCTCGCACTTTAACTTACACTTATCCAATGAGATAATGCATAATATCATCACCCATGTTGCAAATGTAAGGTTGATTTATGTTTCTTATTTAGGCAAGTTTGTATACATATTAATTTGTTATTTTCATAATCTGATTAAAATTCAGACCTACTTATTTGCATTTAACCGTTATTAGGAGTTGATTTTAATCAGATTGTAATATTTTCATTGTATAACGTACATTGTGTATTATAACAATGTAAATCACTTAATTGCGGAAATAAGTAATAGAAAGAGTATATCTGATTTGTACGTGGGGGCATAACCTCTGAGTATAAATCAAATTGCCAAGTGTTTTGATCCATGCTGTTCGCTATCAGTCTCTTTACTTGTTAAAGGATCTGTAAGCGAAAAGCATGGATCCTGATCAGACTGCGCGGATGCGCAGGCTGGTCTGAATCCATGCTGGTCGCAAACACACTATGTTGGTTTTGTCGTAACGCGGCTCATTTCTTTCCTTTTCCAGAAAATCATGCTCTTTTTTATCTCCGCCAGACAGCGTGGTCAATAACTCTAGTAAACACATTGTGCACTCTAGTTAACGCACTATGCACTCTAGTTAACGCACTGTGCACTCTAGTTAACGCACTGAGCACTCTCGTTAACGCACTGTGCAATCTAGTTAACGCACTGTGCACTCTAGTTAACGCACTGAGCACTCTCGCTCACGCATTGTGCACTCTAGTTAACGCACTATGCACTCTAGTTAACGCACTGTACACTCTAGTTAACGCACTGAGCACTCTCGTTAACGCACTGTGTACTGTAGTTAACTCACTATGCACTCTAGTTAACGCACTGTGTACTCTATCACTGAATCCATGCTGGTCGCAAACACACTATGTTGGTTTTGTCGTAACGCGGCACATTTCTTTCCTTTTCCAGAAAATCATGCTCTTTTTTATCTCCGCCAGACAGCGTGGTCAATAACTCTAGTTAACACATTGTGTACTCTAGTTAACGCACTATGCACTCTAGTTAACGCACTGAGCACTCTCGTTAACGCACTGTGCAATCTAGTTAACGCACTGTGCACTCTAGTTAACGCACTGAGCACTCTCGTTAACGCATTGTGCACTCTAGTTAACGCACTATGCACTCTAGTTAACGCTCTGTGCACTCTAGTTAACGCACTGAGCACTCTAGTTAACGCACTGTGCACTCTAGATAACGCACTATGCACTCTAGTTAACGCACTGTGTACTCTAGATAACGCACTGAGCACTCTAGTTAACGCACTGTGCACTATGGTTAACGCACTGAGCACTCAAGTTATCGCACTGTGTACTCTGGTTAACGCACTATGCACTCTAGTAAACCGCACTGTGCACTGTAGTTAACGCACTATGCACTCTAGTTAACGCACTGTGCACTCTAGTTAACGCACTGAGCACTCTAGTTAACGCACTGTGCACTCTAGTTAACGCACTGTGCACTCTAGTTAACGCACTGAGCACTCTAGCTAACGCACTGTGCATTCTGGTTAACGCACTGAGCACTCTAGTTAACGCACTGTGTACTCTAGTTAACGCACTAAGCACTCTAGTTAACGCACTCTGCACTCTAGATAACGCACTGAGCACTAAAATATATGTTATTAAATATACATCTACAACTGACTACTTTTGTACGCAATTTGAAATTTATTTATAAAACTTGTTTCATTTCGGGTTTAAGTTCTTATCACATTTACGAGGCCCTAAAAAAATTTCCAGACGTGTGTTCAACACCTGAACAATTCTAGGCCTTGTGATGTGTAAACACAGATGTAGATTTTATTTGAAAACAGGACATTATAATGGTAGTCAGGTATAGAGGATAGTATGGCCAGGGGCAGAGAGGACTACAATATACACGGGTCAGATATCATCGACGGCCCCGGGCATTACTTATAGTGTCCTGTATACTTGTAATCTGTATAATGATCTTAAACATAAAAATTACTATCATTTTGTCATGTCACAATAAGTACATGTATGCATGACTCATCACCTGTTTATAGTAACATCGACTCACCTCTGTAATTCATGCGTATTAATCCACACTTCTTTATATCTTTTTGAATACTATACTTCTTGGCGCAAATTTTACAGTTTACGAACATGCATTTTTCATGTGTATTATATATATGAAAATTTTTTATCTGCTCAAATGAAGATTTATCAATATTGTAAGTTCCAAAAAGCATTATTTATAAAGATATTACCGAATTTACATTTAAATGTAAAGAAGAGGAGGTAATTATTTATTTTCTATAAAGTCTAGGTCAATTGTCCAATAAAAAATGAAAGCATATATTTTAATAAGCATATTTATATACAAGTATAAAATTTCACTAAAGTGTGGTAACAACCTTTATTACAACATAAATGATCTTCAAATGAATATGCATGAACATATGCAATATTTCCACCGCATCAGCATAAACAGTTGTCAAAAAAGGATAAAAAAATATATGTAACCAATATATGATGAAAGTAAGCGGTTATTGTATATAGAACACGAAGCAGCCTTAGAGGGATCAGTCATTACATTTACTACACGAGTGCATTGTGCATCCTGCTTTGCTTTCCACGGCCGAACCTTTTGCTTACTTCTTAGATAATCTCCTATTGTCGTCACCATATGACCTATATTGTGTCGGTGTGACGTAAAACCCAATTAAACAAACAAATAAACAAACAAACAAATCCTATGTTGGTAAAAATCATCGATTACAAGAATTACATTTTCCGTTTGTCCCACTTTCTTATCCAATCAAATGCTCCAATTTATTTGAAATATATTGCATACACTATACCGGGACTGGTGTATGTGAAAAATAAGTAGACTTATTTTAACAGGTATTAACGTGGTATCTGGCAAATATGACGTTATGGATATGGGCGGAGTTTTACATTAGACAATGAATTTAGCATGCAAATAAAGTAAACAAATAAGAAAGCGATTTCATACGGTCATTTATAAATCCAAGCTTTTACATGTATAATAATAATTGAAACAGTACATTCCCTATACCGTCATGGTTGTAATTCAAACATGGCTGATCATTGAAAATAATAGACACATAGGCACTTTGTTTCGGGATAAAAAGCCTTTTGAAGGGTTTGTATAACTCAAATTTGATTGAATGTAACGATTTTTTAACGTAGATGTCTCGATTCTAAATTCGACATTTTTCCGATATTACTTAAAGTAATATCATTACATTAAATCAAATTTGAGTTATACAAACCCTTCAAAAGGTTTTTTATCCCGAAACCAAGTGCCTATGAATAGACATGGAGTTAGAGAAATCTCAAAGTCGAAACCAACACATATCTTTAAAAAAACATACAGAATATCAATTTTTCATAATTCCATGACAAACTAGTTTTTCCACATTTTGTTATAAACTCCATTTTTTTAACCGTTGACTCCAATCCCTATACCCTCGTATAGTCAACTCGCGCATGCATGGATCGATATTCTGCGAAGTTCAGAAAAAAGGATCTTCAGTTGTAACAAAGTTCAGGTGCATGGATTTTTCATTTCGAAGATACCATTGTAGCCTTGCAGCAATGTTTAGTAAAGTTGTTGGAGGATAGA